AATCAGGTGACTATATATGTTTAGGTCTGTTTCCATGCATTAAAATTAGGAGATAATTGATACTACCTTGAGTTTGATTATATTAAATAAATAGCTTATCTCTTGGCAGGATTGACTAAGAAAGGCCAGGGAAGGATCAAAAGTCCAGAAATTCTTCAGATCTGTTGACTCACAGACTGTATTTGGATATGTTACTTTAAGTAAAATGACTTTAATAGAATTGTGGTATAAACACATAGACAGTTAACAAACTCTCTATCACAAGATAGATGTACCATATGAAATTGAATTTAAAGAAATTTAATCCCTACTTTAAATTTGATTTCTCATAAAATACAACTGAAAGTGGTTGTTACTTTGTCTGATGCCAGTTCTTAACAATAAGGGAAAGCTTTTTCTGAAACAAGCTTAGCTCACACCCATTTCCTGGATGAAATCTCATCTGCATGATAGTAATACTCACAAATTAGAGCCTTTGATTTCTTGCTCATTTTAATTGCCCTGTGGAAGACCTTTTGTTTATGGCCAGTTACTTCTAGCAACCTGAAGATTTTCAGGTTTTCTAAGATTAAACTAGGTCTGTGGTGCTGCTAAGGTGGGTTTTCTTCTGGTGAATGAATAACCCCTTTTCCAAGGGTCATATCTACCTTAAACTGTAGAGGACAGCAAATCTGTGGCAAAGCCCTAATTCATCCAGAAAACACAGCTTCTTTCCCTGAGTAAGACCCAGAGTGGTGGATGAGGTAGAATCCTCCCTCCTAAGGGATGTGTTCCTGGTCCTGGCACTTTTAAGTTTGGAGAATTTCTTTCCACCTCTGCTCCCTTTTCTGAGGCTGACCACGAAGTCTGAGTTGCCATGAATGGGAAAGATTACCTAGCTAACAAACCTCATTGGAGCAATGGCTTCTTTGTAAGTTTCCCTTTGGTCAACAAGTACAGTTGAGCACCATCTGTGCACCAGCATTCAAGATCTATTCCCAGTCCTTGAGGGCCTTAGTTTACTTCTGACAGTTTCTACTTAAAGTTGGGGCCAGACAGAAACCTTACCAGTGCTTGATCACCTGATCTCAGCTCTCACCTGTCCCTGTTCCCTGCTATGTTGAGTATTTGGGGATGAATCTCACCTAGGTGTTTGTGTATTATACCCCACCTTGTACCTCCATTTTGACTTGAGCTAATGTTATCCAGGATGACTCCAACTTGGATGGCAGGTTTTACATGGTATCCTACCCAAACTGAGCACCTGCTGAAGTCCTGCTCACTGTACTCGAGCTTTTTTTTTTTT